AGAAGAAGGGGGGGGTGTTGTGCATGTACATGTACATGGGAGGAGAGGGATGACGACGAAGCAAATCGGTTGCGTGCACAAAAAGATTCTGTTGCAAATATGAACCTCGACGTATTATTGAGCTAAATACGGGTGAATTGTTTCGGATTTTTCTCCTATAATTTAGATTGGATAGATTAGATGAGGTTAGGTTAGATATTCACGACTAAGATTGCCACAGCACGGGTAATTGACAAAATTGTTTTAAATGCAGAAAAGTTTCATAAAATTATAAAATTATTCTAAAAATCTATGTGATCTATGGCAGTTATTAATTATTATTGCATAATTATTAATATTAAGTTGTTAACTGAATAACTTCACTAACAATTATCCAGGATAACTTTAATTACAATTTGATATCTTTAATAGATGATATATGATTTTAGATTAATTTTATTATTTGATAGAATTTTTTGTATCTAAATTTCCTGTATAGCATAGAGTAATTTTATTTTATATTTTTAGGAAAGATAATTCGAAGTACAGGTTGGATATAGTGAGGCCATTACAAAATTCTTCATTCACCACTTGTTTAAGAATGAAAACAGGTTGAGGATTTTCTAGGGAAAATCATGATCTATAATTAATGGAAGAGTTTATAAAATATATTTAAGAGTGGTCTCACTACTACTATAGCCAAAAAAAAAAATTGAATGATTATTTTAACTTATATTAAACAGAACTGTCTAACATGAGAACATCATATATTGTAAAATTTCTATTATACAATTAAATGATAGAAACCGTCTAATATGAGGTACTAGAATTCATGCTTAGATTAAATGAGGTTAGATTACATTGGAAATAAAAAAAATAAATACTCATAAATTAAATGAATTTTGGAGGGAGACATATTGAATCCAGAATGGGGAGAAAAACCACTAGAATCTTTTCTATGCACGGGGACAGAACAGTGAACGGAGAAGAGGTGTTTAACTCTGAATATTGTCTCTTCAATCAGCCTCCTCTATTTTATATTGTGTGAGTAATTGACTTGAATTAAGAAATCATATCATGAATCATATCTCATTATGAGAAGATGACTGAGATATAATATATCCCATTAATTATAATATCCTAACAATTGAGATATTATAGATTTGGTCAAGAATAAATCACCGATTAATTCTTGATTAGATCAAAACTAATTTAATTTAAAATATTAAGTTAAATAGTAATTGATTTAATATAATATCTGTCTTCAATTAAGGGTCGTTACCGAAATCCAACATCAGATATTCAGGACTATTGTCGCGACAACTATATCCCTCGTGGAAACTCTATTTAGATCAAAACTTGTTTTCATCTGTCTAGTTAAAAGGTTAGTGGAACAGTAAACGATTCAGATGATACATTGACGTACGGGTTGGATATAGTGAAGGCTATTACAAAAGTCTGAATAATTAATGGAGAAGTTTATAAAATATCTAAGAATGGCATACATGATGCATGTTTCGCTGGCGCTGGAGATTATATTATGTTGTTTTGTTCGAGCAAGAACTAATATAGACTTTGGGTGACCACGAGTACGTATTAGGCTATATGATAGTATTTATTCATGGTATTTTGTGCTAGAAGTATGGTGCTAACCATTGTTTATTTTCCTTAATCATGGCTTGTTTGGTAGGGTGGAACTGGAATGAAAGAAGTGGAAAGTAAAAACTCTAAAAATTGTATGTTTGGGATTTTGAAGTGCACTTTTTTGGGGAAGTCAGTTACATCAAAAAATGGTGAAACTCGGTTCCTCCAGCACTTCCTTCCTCATTTTCCATCTTTGCCCCTAACCTTTTTCTTGTGATGTTTGAGTTTGACTGAGACACATGTAGGTGTTCATCGTTTGTCACTGATGGCAACCCCATGGAGGGCATGATGGTGCAGCGGAGCATCAATCGGCAGCGAGATCTCTGGCTTCACAAGCGGCAGCGAAGCATCCTACTAGATGGTCTTTCAATTTGCTCGAGCTTCTTCGATCTTAGCTTCTCCCTTCCTGTAACCGCCAACGACGAGCATCCTTTCTTCGTCCACGTTCGATGCTTCATCTCCTTCCTCTTATTGTTCTAATTATTTCTTCAATTTTAATAGGTCTAGAAAAAGGCAAACTTGTCGAGAGCAGATATGGAAAAAAATGTGTTCGAATATAATGTTGATGGAGTATTGTAATCAGATATGCTTTGTTGATGATTTATTTTATGAAATTTGATATTTGCTGCCGTTTTTTTTTATCCTCCAATGGCGGTTTTCTCATGGCATCGATTCAATTCATGTGCTGATGATTTTCTTTTTGTTATGATCTTATCAAATCAAACCTGTTTTTTTAATGAAATTTGTTCTGATGGTTTTTTTTTTGTTCTCAGATGCAGTGTTTATTTATTTTTTTTCCAATGGCATTGATTTGATTATGTATAGGTGGTTTAGTGGGTTTTTAGGGGTATTTTGGACTTTTTAAAATTTAAATACAATATTAAACAAATTTTTTTATCCCCTTTCCATCTGCGTGATCTCCTCGAAAAGAAAAATTAATAAATATAAGTGTCGTCACCAAAATTTAAAAGAATAATTTTAAAAACCTTTTAAAAAAATAAAATGATTTATAATAACCAGAATAGGGTTCGAGAGTTGGTTGTGCGTGAGGAAAGTATTAGGCACCCCATGATATCCGTTCATAAGAACGGTTATCCTAAATTAATTGTGTAAAATTAATTGATCTTTTAATAATATCTTAGTTACCCTTTATTCCACATGAAAAATAAAGATAAAAAAAAATTATTTATTTACATGAGAGGGCTTGACCTAGGATCAAAGCTTAGGGCTTACATATCTTGTGATTGGGATCAAATTCTACATAGTTTGAAATATTATTATTTAGGTTTTCTTTTATATTTTTTATTAATTTATTTTATGAAGAGAATGTTTTTTTGTGTTATATAATTTTTTTAATAAAAAAATGTCACATGGAAGTATCTTTGGGTAAAAGAAAAATAATAAACTTGTGGCAATTTAATATCACTCACAGTCCACTAATTGACACTCTAAGTGTACATGGTGATTTAATATCACTTGTGACAAACCCTACAAGAAATTTGTAAGTAAAAATTTCATAGAAATAGTTTACTTATTAAATTTTGAAATGAAATTTAATACCTATGATGATTTAATATCATTTATGGTATCTTCTTTTGATATTTTAGGGATTCAAAGCGATTTAATATCACTCATGGCATAACTTAGCATATGCTAAGAGTTTTATTATTTTCATTATTTTTAATAATACACAAGGGAAGGAAAAATTAAACAGTATTGGATTCTGTGGTGATTTAGTATCACTCACAGTCCATCATTTGACACTTTAAGTGTACATAGTGATTTCCTATCACTTATGGCAAACCCTAAAAGAGTTTTCAAAATGAAAAAATAATTTAACTTTGAAAAATGTAAATTTTAATACCTATGATGACTTAGTGTCACTCACGATGATTTAATATCACTCATAAAAAATAAAAAAGATTATACTTTATGAGAGCTTATAGAATTTAATCTATTTTCTTTTTACAGATTAATACCAAAATTTATGAAACCTTTTGTTTTTCCAGAAACTGGTTTGATTATGGAAACACGCTAATTCCATCTATTCACACTAATTATCTTAACTTATATGGCCATAAAATAGATTCGTAGAGAATGATTGTATAGGTACTATTGATCAAGAGAAAGGAGAAACAAACATAAAGGATAAAGAGATGAAAAAAAAGAACAAAAAGAAGACAAAAAAAAATTAATACAAATGGTGCCTGTCAATTTTGCTAGAAACGACAAAGATAAAAGAAAGCGAAGAAGAAAAATTAAAATAAAATGAAAGAAAAGATTAATTTAAATATGTGACATTACAAATACCAACAAAACAAAAAAAAGGCTCCATTCTAACTATTAGATTTAAAAAGTAATTCATAGTCTCATAATTTGCTGGGCATGAGAAATATATAATTGTCCTCACTTTTTTCTGGCACTCTTTTGGCCTCTCCACCAATTTCTTCTTCTCAATTTTTTGGTCCCCTCCTTTCCCTTTTTTTATCTCTTTTATAAGTACTAATTAAGATTTTCTCACTTAATAACAGAATCAAGCAAAATAAAGTAATTTTTTATTTTGACTTTTTCACATAATTTCAGATTTCAAATTTAAATTAAAGGCAATCAATTTGATAACAACAAAAATGAGGGGATTTGAGAGTCAATAAAAAAATATATTTTTTAAATTATGAAGATATTATTTTTTTTTATAAAACCCTATTTTTCTGTTTTTAGCTTACTTAATTTTATTGGGCTTTTATTTCTAGTTTGTATTTGGAAGTCAAAATAAAATATAGTATTCACAATATTAAATATACTTTTATACCCTATTGTCACCTCCATTTTCAATTTCACTTTCACTTTTATTTCTATTTTTATAGATCCATCTATTTTTTTATGACAAATGTGACCTAATTTCTTCTGCTAACTCAAACGAAAGAGTATTTTTTCTCTCTTTCTTTCACTTTTTAATCGGGAGAATGACAGAAAAATATTAAGAGGATCGTTTAATTTAAATTAGGTTTCAAATGTCAAACTCTAAGGATTTACAAGTTTAATTTTTAATTTTATAATTTCATTGTGATTAATTTATAACTTGTATTTTAAATTTTAATGAAAAAATAAATTTATTTACTCTACAATCATGTTAAAATTTAAAAAATAAATTATAAATTTATTATAACAAAATTGCAAAATTAATAGATAAACTTAAAAATTATTAAAATTTAATACTTAAAATTTAATTTAAATTAATTAATCCTCTTAACCTATTTGTCATTCTCCCCTTTTTAATCCCTGAATTAACAATGGAAATGGATTTTCCCTCTCTTGGGCTTACTCGGTTGTCCATTCTAGCTAAAATCTTCAAATGGTTGTAGTTATTGTCGTTTTATTTCCTTTTTGTCAAGCTCAAACCATTATTCCATGAATCATGATGCAAATTTCTCTACCATTGCGAACCCCAACTTGGTTTTCTAGACGAAGGCTGCTCGAGGAGAAGCTTTCTGATATCCATAAATGCACTAACTTGGACCACATAAAGCAAATTCATGCCCAAATTCTCAAAGCTGACCTCCACCAAGACCTCTATGTCGCACCCAAACTCATTGCAGCTCTCTCTCTCAGCCGTCAGATTGTGTCAGCCGTGAATGTCTTCAATCAAGTTCCGGAACCCAATGTTCATATGTATAACTCGTTGATTAGAGCTCACGCTCAAAATTCTCAGCCTTCACATGCCTTCGCAGTTTTCTTTGAAATGCAAAGATTTGAGGTGTGTCCTGATAATTTCACTTACCCATATCTGTTAAAAGCGTGCATTGGCCATTCTTGGTTACCCGTAATTCAAATGATTCATTCACATATAGAGAAAACTGGACTTTATTCAGATATATTTGTGCCCAATGCACTCCTTGACTCCTACTCAAAGTGTGGACCTTCTGGCCTTACTGCTGCGTTGAACTTGTTTATGTCAATGAAGGAAAAAGATATTGTTACTTGGAATTCTATTGTTGGTGGGTTGGCAAAAGCAGGTAAATTAGAAGAAGCTTGCAAATTGTTCGATGAAATGCCTGAGAGAGATACGGTAAGTTGGAATACAATGTTAGATGGACATGCAAAGAAAGGAGACATGGATAAAGCATTCAAACTGTTTGAGAAAATGCCTGAGAGGAATATTATCTCTTGGTCAACAATGGTTTGGGGTTACTGTAAGGCTGGGGATATTGATATGGCCAGGATGTTGTTTGATAAGAGTCCTGCAAAAAACATGATCCTTTGGACTACTATAATATCCGGGTATGCTGAGAAAGGGCTTGTTAGAGAGGCAAGCACCTTGTATGACCGAATGGAGGAAACGAGATTGAAACCTGATGATGGGACTGTGATAAGTATATTGGCAGCATGTGCAGAGTCTGGAATTTTGTGCTTGGGAAAGAAAATTCATGCCTCCATTAACAGGTCTAGATATAGATGCAGCATTAAAGTGTCCAATGCACTGATTGATATGTATGCAAAGTGTGGTTGTCTGGAAGCTGCATTTGATGTGTTTAACGAAATGAGAAAGAAAGATGTCGTGTCTTGGAATGCCATGCTCCAAGGATTAGCTGTGCATGGACATGGCAAGAAAGCACTTAAACTCTTCTCTAGGATGATACGTGAAGGATTTGAGCCTGATAAGTATACATTCATTGGCCTTTTATGTGCTTGCAGCCATTCAGGCCTTGTTGAGAAAGGCAGAAAGCACTTCTATTCAATGGAGAAAGTGTATGGGATTGTTCCTCAAATTGAGCACTATGGTTGCATGATGGACCTTTTAGGCCGTGGAGGGCATCTAAAGGAAGCTTTTGCACTTCTTCACAGTATGCCAATGGAACCAAATGGCAAAATATTGGGAACTCTTTTGGGGGCTTGTCGAATGCATAACGCTGCAGACCTTGCGAGAGCTGTGAGTGATCGTCTGCTCAAATTAGAACCATCTGATGTTGGGAATTACTCCCTTTTGTCAAATATTTATGCTCAAGCGGGAGATTGGAGTAGTGTTGCTGATGTGAGGGTACAAATGAAGAACACTGGAGGCCAAAAGCCATCTGGGGCTAGTTCCATTGAGTTGGAAGAAAAGGTGCATGAATTTACTGTTCTTGATCGATCTCACCCCAAATCAGATGACATATATAAGATGATTGACAGATTGGTACGGGACCTTAAATTGGTTGGATGTGCTCCAGTCGCGGAGGAATAGCCAATGGTGAATGCAAGTTGCTTATATCTAAAGACTAGGGTGACGCTTATGATGTGAGTTACAATATATTTTCAGTTCTATACAATTGGTGGTTTAACATAAAAGATCGTTGTATATATTGTGAAACATCATATTCTGTAAAAGAGCTATGTCAATTCAAACAGCTCCGAGGAAGGGAATAGAACACGTAAAACGCAGCAAAAATTAAGTCAGGCATCAGGATGGTGTGAGGGCAATGTATTGTCAATGAATATCAAGTATTTAAAATATCTATTAACTAGGTCAAAGATTTCAGTCATTAAGCATTTAAGCTAATTTGCCATTTGTCTTTAGCTAACATTGTTACTTGTTTTCCTAGGAAAGACTACTTTGCGTGGTTCGTATGAAACATAAAATCAATAGGCAAACGTTGTTTCTATTACTAAATATGATTTAAGACAAACAAATTCTTATCATTATCAAGTTGCAATCAACAAACTTTTTTCACGGAAGTCTCTCTCTCTCTCTCTTTTTTTTTTTTGAATTACAAAACCACGACAAAGCCATGCAAATTAAAGAGGACCATGTAAGATCATTAGACATGATGTCATTGTCATCCAAGGAATGTTTCATTTAAATTTCTAACGTCTAGTTTATCTTTATGTTCTTGGTGACCAAGCTAGACAACATAATTATTAGACTTTTAGTAAACATGATCCAAAATAACAATTTAATCTTTCATAATGTGATCTCAAATCCTTGTGATGGTGTTGAAAAGTGGGTGAATTTGAAAGTATTCACTTCCAATGAGATTTAGTACCTTCATTAAGTCAGAGAAAACATTTATCACCACGGGCAGTTGCACTATTAAACATTGTGCATTACATATTTAATTTTAATGTGTACTTGTTTGTTTTATATGTTGCAATAATGATTGAGGCTCTTCACCATGCATCCCGCTTATGTTTAATAACTTCTTCTCAAGTTATAGTCGAAGTTTCAACTGCTGTTATTTTTAAGAACATTGAATTTGCAGGATTATTTTTGTGCCATATCTCGTAACAATTTATTTAATGATTATTATGAATTTTCTATATGAGTTTAATCTTCTAACTTAAAATAATATTTACTTGATGGCTTCTTTGGGTCAACAATTGATGATTGCTCTTAATTGTAAAACATTTTGATTTTGTCCCAATGTTATTTTTATTAAAAATATATATTTTAAATGAACGATTATATTTTTGTTGATAAATAAAATATTTTTTATTTTTAATGTTTTATAATTTTTATTATTCAGTTTTTGTTTTGGGCCTTTCCATTTTCCCCCTCATTTTTATTCTAGTTTTCCAATCCTTACTCTTCATATCATTTTATTAAATATTTTTTAATTATAAAATTAATGAAGCACAAGGGTTGAGATAGTGGAGGAAAAAGAATGGAAAAAAAAAAAATTGGAGAGCCCCTTGTCACGGGCTAAGAGTCTGGCGCAGCACACGGCGCCCGTGCGACGTCCTGGAGGACCCCATAATTCTCAGGACAAGCCTTACACATACGGATCACACTAGTTTTGCCCTGCCATAGGTTCATCAGGGAGGCGGCACCAGCCCCCGACCGGTTGTGCACTCAGTCCGAAACTGAGGCAGAACACCCCCAATGCTAATGTCGCCCCCTTTACCCATATTGTGCGAGGCTAACCAGCGGATCGTTCATTATCTTGGTCTTTACACAGTCACGGAGATATCATCCATGACATTCTCCCACACCCAATCTAGCACGCCCTCATGCTAGGGGAGAACGACTCTGCCTAAGGATTGTACGTACAGTACTGCCACAAACACATCAGCTTACTGCTGAGTGGCCACCCGAGTCCTGTACTCTTCGGACCCACTCGCACCCGCGAGCCAACAGGAGTAGAGTCGACAACGGCCAGCCTTCCCGCCCAAGTCCCCACTTTTGGACCCACCTGCTCGGAGGCCTTTCTGGAGCGGTGCCGAGGTCGACTAGTCCTAATGTGGGACCCCACAGGCACACGGCAGTAAAGTACGTCCTGCTCTGATACCACTCTGTCACGGGCTGAGAGTCTGGCGCAGCACACGGTGCCTGTGCGGCGTCCTGGAGGACCCCATAATCCTCAGGACAAGCCTTAAGCACCAGCCCCCGACCAGTTGTGCACTCAGTCCAAAGACTGAGGCAGAACACCCTCAATGTCAATGTCGCCCCCTTTATCCATATTGTGCGAGGCTAACCAGCGGATCGTTCATTATTTAATCTTTATACGATCATGGAGATATCATCCGTGACACCCTGGTTCAAACCTAACCTGTCTTAGGCTGTGTTCTTAGACACCCGTCTTATGATTTAGATAAGGAAAGCCGAAAATCTACCTAGTAGCCTAGTACCAACCAAAGCAAACTCAACCCCATTGCACGCCCATGATTATTTTTCCGATGTTTCGTCGCTTTTATGCTTTAAACGGCATCATTTCCTGGTGCAGAAAATCAAAGCCAAATAGCTATCCTCGAGCACAAGTTGAAGAATAATCGAAGCTGCCGTAGCTGAACTTGGTGCGATCGATTTAACAATCTGCTAACTCCAAATGAACACTTGCTCAACTCTTCTTCGCACATCGCTCTCTTCTTTCAAATGCAGCCTTTGCTCCACTCAACCCACTCTTACTGTGCTTCCACCCGCCTTTTTCCTCACTTCAGGATTAAGGGTTGCTTCCAGATGTTACGCTTCAGCTCAAGAAGCTGCGTCAATCGAACCCATTCACATAAATGACCAACCCTTATCCCCAAATCCCATCATTGAACCCCCTGAAGACCAACCCAATGACACCGTCGAGCACCTCCTCACGCACGCCGATGACGTGGCTAGGTTGATGAAGATGGAGCGCAAGACCGTTCACGATGATGCGTCTCGGTGGTTCCCATATATTGACAGGTTCAAATGCCACAACACTTTTGTCACGAGTGGTGAGATTTTAGAGGCGGTAGGTCCGTGCATCTCCGATGTCAGGAAGGAGAGGTTCAGGAATGTGGTCCGCAACCGGAGCTATTCTGTGTGTTTGGTTGTCGAAGGGCTCAGTGACTTTGGGAATGTCTCTGCTGCATTTCGCTCTGCTGATGCACTTGGGTTCCAGTCCGTTCATGTGGTCTCTTGTGACAGCTCCAAAAGGTGTACAGACAATTGAGGTGAAAAAACCTTGTTCTGATTGTTGGATGTGTGACTTACTTGGCTTTGGATTTGTTGGTACTGCTTGCTTTGATGATTTTCGTTTTCTATTCATTCGTTCCCAGTCTTTTGTCCTGAGAAAGGAACATTGTGATCAGCATTCATTTATTAACCTTGTGAGAACTTCAAGTTTGTGTGTATTTAGATCGCTATCATAGAGCTTTTCTAGATCATTCAACATTTGAATGTCGACTTTAATATTTGTGGAAATATCATTTTTCACAACTGTAGAGCTGATGTTTTGTTTCTCTAATTATGTCAAATGCATTATGTTCTAATTTGCAATTTTGTTTTATATAGTTCCCAATTGTATTGTAGTTTAAATATCACTTTTCTGTTTTCCTTCTGCTTTGAAATGTATCATTCTTTTCCATTTTGCGCATGTTGCGCCTACATTCTACAACTTAAAATAATAAAATGTTGAAGTGTATCATGACCTCGGATAGTGTGCCAATGAAGCCTACCCTCCTACTCCTCCATACCAGATATTCAGCAAAATGCTTTACTCTCTCCATGTACCAAATATTTCATGAAGCAGAATCGTCCCTGTTCCAAATATTTAGTAAAGTGGCATGCTTTGCCCTCGCAGACTGATACCATATTTCTTGTGAAGTGCTGCACCCAATCTCTGTACCTATTAGATGTCCAAAACAGTGCCATGTTATTTGTTATAATGATATAAAACAGATGCTCGCCATGAGAATTATGAGAAGATGCTTGATTCAAATTTCACCTGTATCAACCATCAACATATTAAGTTTACACTGGTTTAATCCATCTTGCTGTTGCAGGTACAGAGAAAATCGCCATGTGAGCATGGGTGCTGAGAAATGGTTGGACATTGAACTGTGGGATTCTACAAAGGAGTGCTTTAAAGTATTGAAATCACGCGGTTATCGAATTGCGACAACTCATTTAGGAATGGATACGGTATTGTTTGAGCAGCTTGTTTTAGTTTATACCACTAGTTTGTATGTATATGTGTATTTTATGCATATGTAAATGAATTTCACAGTATACATTTTCCTTCTAATATATAGGTTTCCATTTATGACTTGGACTGGTCATGCCCTACTGCAATCATAGTGGGAACGAGAGTAGGTAATTTGACTAATGGCCATCATCTCACTTGTGTAAAAGCTTACAGAAATGGTAATTTGTAAAAGACTTGAAGAAGCTGGTTTGTTTGAGTTTTTAGGCTCTAAATGCTCATTTTGAATTTCTGATTAAGTTATTCTGTCATTGCACGCAGAAATTATCCATGTAATACTTCGAAGTTATCATCTCTGCTGGTCTGCATCTGCAAATTTGATCTATTTAAATGCCTTTTGTTCTTTACTGATTGATTCATCAGCAATTAGTAGTCAGAAGATATCAGACAGCCTTGACACTCTACTAAATGTCATATCTCTTACAGGATGGAGTTCATTTTTGTATTGAGTTTTTCTTTGTGTTTGGTCAACACAATTTAAGGTCTTGTTGCAGGGGAATTAGTGATGAGGCTCTGGAGTTGTCTGATTTGCACTGCAGTATTCCCATGAAAGGGATGGTGGACTCTTTCAATGTTTCAGTTGCTGCAGGAATCCTCATGCACCATGCTGTTTGCGACCGAATATCACGGATGGTAATGGTTGTACTTGTGTGTTTTATACATGGTGGACCTTTTTGGTCAGTCTGTTGCACCTCCATCTGAATCAAAGAGCTGGCATGCTCGTATCAAAATAAAGGATTTAAACACGGTTTTGTGGTGGTAAATTTAACTAAATTCACGACCACTCCGTTTCCTTTGACTTTTCTTAATTATGTGGTGAAGATACATGAGCCGTTTTTAGATCATCATCAGGATTGTGCAGTCTGAAGTTACCTTGATATGTTGCAGGGTTGTCATGGTGATCTGACATCGGAAGAAAGCCAAACCCTACTTGCAGAGTTCTCATTGCGCCATAGCAGGAGTGCCATTAGTATTGTCCATGAGTATGCAAAGCGCAAGGCAACTCTCTTGACCTGAGAACTCTAACAGGAAGTTGACTAATTCCTGCAAAGTGGCACGGCATACACATCACTGCATTAGCTTGTAGCAGGATTTTGGAAGGACGATAAGGTCCGTACCATAGAATTACAAGCACCTATTTTGAATGACGACTATTGGTAGTCTTGTTCTTTCCACCACATTGTGTTATGTATCTGTTTTTTTTTTTTTAATGTATCAATGAAAAAGGTAAAAATGTTATTTTAAAATTACTCATAAGTTGTAACTATCCCATTACCTATATCATGATGCTATCTTTTTCACCGCTAACTGTCTTATGTTTAATCACCGCCATCATTATTACCAAGTTAATTTACAAAGTCGATGACCAGAAAGCGAGTTGTAAGGGACATTTTGCGTGTCCTTTCCCAACAAAACATGACCTTGTTAAACTGTGATTGCCCTTCATCTTAAGCATAATGAAAGAGTGCAAACGACTGTTTTTTTTCTTTTTGGCCTGACAATTGAAATCGACAAGCTTGCAAGACTTTTGGCAGCCAGGCATTTTCTGCTTGCTTTGTATCCTGAGACATCCAAAGTTAATGCACAAGTGGAAGCTCAAGCTCTCTTCAATATCATTCAAATATTTAAGCAACAAAGTCAAATTACATGGATTGCATGATACATTAATACGTTGTGTTTTATCAATGACCAAACTTTTAGATATATCATTAACCATAGTTGAGTTCAACGACTTCATTTAATCTTGCCATTTTATTCCCCTCTTCATAGAATTTAATATTATTTATTACGTTTTTCTCACCGAAGCCTCTCACTTTCTTTGTGTGTATCCAAATTGTTTTGAATAATTTATTAATCATTTTCTCCTCAATAAATATCACTCACTTTTTTTCTTTAATTTCAAATCTCATCTTTTCTTGCAAGCTCACACGAATACCTTAATATTTTTCTGTTTGTAACTTCAATTTTATGTCCTTGATATTCTTTAAAAAGCTTAACTGATATTCAGTCATCTGGTATTATCACATATCAATAAAATTTTCCTTTAAACTTGAGTACTTTTGGATTGCAAATAAATCATCTAACCTTTCTCCATTCAAATATTTGAACGGATCATATATGTTTTATTTTATAAAATACAGTATTTAAACTTTATAACATTTAGGCTAGATGCAACTTTGTAGCACGGACAAGTGCATTAAACATTTAGAACCCCAAGTTGAAGCCATTGTGAAGAATAAAATTTTAATTCGTAGCTAAAATTTAAAATCACAAGTGCTTTACTTAGCTCACCTGAAGATCTTTACAGCTTTCAACTTCTAACGACCAGATTACATTATACAAAATAAACGAAACTAAGATCCACATTTGACATTATTATGCAGACCGCAAGAACCAAATTATTCGTGCCAAAAGCTATGAAACTCCGAAAAATTCCCTAATCAATCAACATTTCCCCATTCGTGGCCTGAATTGTGCCCTTGCTACTCTGAATACCTTGGCCTTTATCATGTTTCTTCAGCTCCCGGGACCTCACAAACTCCTCAATTCTTGCCTTGAGTTCATCATTAGAAATCAGCATATCGGCGGTAAGATGAGAACGGTTGAATGGGTCGGTCTGTATAAAAAACCATATCGGCAAAGATTAGAAAAATAAATTCCCTCACTGAATAAATGATTAATGAAGAAGAAAAGATTAAAGGGGTACATTATCACTAAGAAGATGCCTCTGAATGACAGGACGATCAACTGTGATCCTTGAAGAAGGTAAGATAACTGGATCTTTCATCAAAGTGTACTGCAACAGAAAGGTCAAGATTTCCAAGTTAACATTGAGATTTCTGGAAAATGTTTTATAGCCAATCAAGAACAAATAAGAGTTACCCCCTTCTACACTACATCAACCCATTCCCAAAGCAACTTGAGCATAATATAGATCAAATAACTTAGTCACGGGTTACTCTTGTAGCAGAGTCACACAAAGAAGCCTGAAATATACCTGAATTGGATCGAGGAATTCATCAGGTATTTCCCCTAAAGTAGCTTCAGTATCCATGGCCTCAGAAGCAGCGACTTTTGCTTTAGCACCGAGTTCAACAAATTCATGTATAACTCTTCCATCCTCGCCTATTCTTCTAAGGACATCTGCTGCAGCACTAAACAGCTGCAACAAAACTCCAAGTGTCAAATTGCATTTGATTATAGAAATTCAGAGCAGGGGAATAATTTCCAGTATATTATAAGTCAAATGACAATAACCTGATCATTGTATGATCGACCATCCTTAGAGATGGCAGACGGGAAGATGTTGTTGGTATCACCTCTGGCTAGATGAACATAAATGTGCACAATCTTCAAATTGGGGGGGGGGGAATCTCGGAATCAGTAATTATCTTTCCAACCATGATGTAACACAAACATTAACACGGCACCTCAAATATTGGATTGGAACTCAAAAAGTTTCTCTCAAAAAAAGGACCCAAGCATCAACACTAATGTAAAGATTAAAATTAAAAAAAAAATGATTTGCCACATGAGAAGTGAGAAAACAACAAATTATCTAGAAAAACTGAACCAAATTGAAAGCCCAACAAGTGTGGCAGTGCTCTCCATCTTTTACGGTTTCCCACAGCATTAGGAGAGCTTCAAGTAGGAGGGATCCGATGATCCTGAACTGATCTCACTGGATCACAAGATCTTGTACATTGGAACCCATGTTTATGGCCCCGATTCCATTAGTATGGAACATTTTCTTTTCCAAGTGAAATCCCCTAGTATTTAAAAAAGTGGAAAGGTGCTTTCATTGTTCTGGATAAGAAGCCCTCATATCTTAATGCATGTATTTAATTTATTCAAAGCTATTTGAGCGGGATATACTTTCTGGGGAATATTTCAGTCTTTCATACTCCACGGACAGATAGTTCACTAATAGACCTAGGGAAGAGAAATTTGACTCAATCACATCTAGATCATGAATTTTTTGTATCCATATTAAGCAATAAGATATTTCTTGAAGGGTGTCATAGATATAAATCTTGTCTTTTTCACATTCATCATAGTTGGAAGCTTCATCTTTGTATCAATATTGTCAACATCATCAATATCATCACTATCAAAAACCCTTAGGCTTGTTATCCAATCTAGATGGAAATTTATTAACTGGGTTTGGGGTCGTAGGGCTAGCAAGAATTATGCAAATTCTCCTAATATAGGTTTTCTTGGCACAAAAACCCATACATTTGAACATGACCATAACAAAATGTTGAATTCTGTGGTATCTTATATTTATAAAAAACACGAAGGTTAGAGGGCAAAAATGTCCTGGAACTTTACCACAAGGGGCATCTTGTATCCTAAACTTTTGTTTGGAACAATATCGCCTTGGAACTTTAAAAAATGGTGCAATATCACCCCATCATTAATTCTAGAAAACAAGTTTCACCAAGGGTATTCTCGTTTTGCCCTCCTTAGCTTCCTTTTGCATCTTTGGTCTCCATTCAACACAATTCTTCATCTCAACTACCAAACTGATCTGAAGAAGGATTAATAGCAAAGTGACAGTCATCATCATTTGCATGAGGGAAGAAGTCTTTCCTCCTCATGCTGCTAGGAGATAGAACCATTGCATCGCCATTACTATGGTTAGAGGGATGAGTTAACAAATTAAGCCCAAATCTGTTAAACCGTTTCTTTGGATTTGCATGTGAAATTGATTCCCTAAATCAAGTACCCAGGAACAGTTCATTTTGCAGAAAAGAAAGGAAAATGAGCTCCTTCCAATGCCCCTGTGGTGCTAAACAACCAACACAATCCACATGCTCCCTAATCAATTCACTCCAAAAATTAACCATGCCAGATTTTGTAAGGTTTAAAAGGTAAAAAAAGAACAAAGAAAGAAAAACAAAACGAGACTAAAGTTTAGGAGAAAATCAAAGGGTCGATACATATACATGCTTGGTCCTCGATGCTCATGATCTCGCCAACCGAGGGCAGCAGGAAGATTGTTTGCAGGGAGGATTGGAGCCTTTTGAGCATTGGCCAGAAGACAAAGCAGCTTAAGGCTGAGGAACTGCCAGCAAAATTTCGAGGGAGTAAGATTGAAGAATTTTGTGATGCCATGGACAGCAGAGGGATCAAGTTTCTGGTGTATAGGAAGGCTCAGATCATCTTCATCATCGCAGTTGCCCCCCATGTTGAATAGGAAGGCTCAGATTAGCCTTTTCTCAGACAAGAAAAAAAATTCAACACTTATAGCTGCAAAATCCAAAGCGTGAGGAGGTGGGACATGGAGATGAGAGGTGGGAGGTGGAGAAGAAGGAAGAGATAAGAAAAGGCAGCTGGAGACCCAAAAACGTAGAAGGAAGGAGGGTTAAAATAGTAAAATAACCTTAGTCAAACTTCATTTTAATGGTCAACAGTTTCCAGATATAACAGTGGGGCAACATTACACCCTTTTTGAAAGTTCTGGGACAATATTATTCCAAACAAATGTTTACAATACAAGGTGCCTTTCGCGGAAAAGTTTCAGGGCATTTTTACCCTTTAACTCAAAAAACAGTTGATTTCATAATGAAACACCTAAAATGTGATATTAAAAAAAAAAAAATTCTGTACTTGAACAAGTATATTTACATCACTAACAAAATATACAGTCCTATAGAATTTGTGACATTTTGACCCATATACATGGTAAATGAGCATCTTCATAATAAACCATTGAATATGTACACCAACTTGGTTCAATTTGGAAGACTAGAATGAAATGAAATTGAAAATACAAGAGTAAATTTACAAATATCATGATATCAAGATTTAGTGCTCAGTGCAGCTTAAAAGAGTGATGAAACAAACAAAAAATACATCAAAAAGTTATAATTACAATTAAATAACAATAACCTTGCGACTTAATTTATCAATTCCCTTTCTCTTATTTTGACCTCAGTTAATCTATGATAAATTGTAAAAGCATTAATTCACTTCAGATCATGTATTCATTTAAATCTACCACCCAAATACACAAGGAATTTTACTGCTCTGCACGAGTAACTAGACCATGTTAAGGTGAGATTTTGTCAAGATTAATATTATGCCCAATTTAGTTTGCATAATCCACAAAAAGAAACATGAATTCAATTTATTTATTATAAATACGTTCAGACCACCAAGCAATGCACATCGTCTCTCCCAAATCCTGTCAAGTCTTCACCATGAAAAAGAGGGAAATAAACAAAAAATAAGGCTTCAATTATAATCAATGCCAACCTGCTTAAGCAAATGCTTGGGACGGAATTCATACTTTTCAG